TGATGGTCTGTGTCTCTTCCACTGTTATTCTCACCATGTTTGTATCAACACACTACAGTACAGTACTGTTCAGCTGATGCCCATGAGGGTATGGTACCACAGTGTGCTCCAACACTGCTTCATGCAGACAGAGGGGGACGGAATCCAGACAAGTTAGAACACCTGTAGGAATTAGTAGCACCAACTTTCAAGGCTGATCAACCTCCAATACTGCAGAACAGCTTTGAATTGTTAACTCATGTTGTGTTCCCTGAAAAAGGCCTTTCTGTATAATTCTGACGTATACATTACATTTCAGTTTTGGGTAACCTTACCTTTTTTTTTAAACCTTTGGCAGTTTACCACTTTTGTACCATTTCAACCTATTCACTGGACTTGAAACACATGAATTGTGATAAATAACTGGAAGAACTGGGGTGTGTTTACTATATATAGTAAACCAAGATATTTTCACACTGTAAGCAGTAATTAAACATCAAGTTGTAGTTTGTACAGTAAATATAATAAAACAGCAAACAACTTTTATATTTATGTAAAGGACTTTTATTGTGAAAGGAGAGATCTGTTCCTGTGTGGAATCTTAATCTGCTTAAGAAGGTTCATGATTGAGCTGGAAGTATCAGCTCAGAGAGTGATGAAGGCCTGTAAACCAGAATAATCGAGTGTGCGATCGGGTTTTACAGTGTCTGTCCGAAAGCGGTGAGGCAGCTCAGACCGATACGAGGAGGCACATTGCGTGTTGTCCAATATAGTTTTATTCCACTTTAAATCTGAAAAACAATGTTACAAAGCCTGGAGGTAAATATGATGTAGGACACTCTATGCCCCCCTTTAGACTCAGCCCTGTAGGGATCACTGGAGAGTGGGCTGGCTGCCGTCAGCCTTCAGCGAGCTCTATAAATTAAACATTATATCAGACTCAGTTAACAATTCATCTGCAAATTTTGATGTAGCCTTACTTCTGCAGCTTTACTGCAGATTTTTCTGTAAACTAAACGGCGATGGGTGGAGCAGCTACAAAGTTTGCTTTTCTCCGTTGGTCAGCTGTTTCCAGGTTTTAATGGTGACTTCAGGAACAGCGCTGCTGTTTCGGAGGCTGTGCTTTCTTTCTTCCCACCTAAGCTCACTGTGTCGGTAACGCCTCTGCCTCTTTGCTCTTCACGTTGTATAAACAGAATCCGCCTCCACATTAAACTGTGCCAGCGTCATCATCAGTGCTGCTGTTATCAGTGTTTTAGGTTTAACACAGTTTATTATTCACACACTTCTGTTGTAGTCTGTAGTCAAAGTTTATTGGTCACATATCATGCACTGTGTGACATACGGCGAAATGCTTATCGCTGTGCAATTCCCGCCCATTAAAAATATTTGAATAAACTCAAGAATCAAAATGATGAAGGTGTGCAGATTAATGTATTTATTTTGTTATTAATTGTGTGTACAATGACGTGATATGAGAGAAACCAGATCAGAAGTACGTTGTTGTTATTAAAGTGCCGTCCGTTAAATGAAGAATCGAGGATTTTTTTTTTTTTTAAATGATAAAGTTATAATCTGAGTTACTCAATGAAGCGTGCCGCCCGCCTCTTTAAAACTGTGGATGACGACGAGCTCAGAACACAAGGGGAAGTAAGAGGTGCGGCCTGCCTCTGGATGTTGTAGTTTCACCATACGAGTCTGAGTTACCTTCTCCTAAACAGGAGGTGAGAGGTCATTTTTGAACTGTACAAACACACCCAGGTTTCCTTGTGGAGATCAGGTAGGGACATTCCTCTGACCTCATTTTTCTGTCGTCCCCTCAGATGTGCCCCTGTGGTCGAAGCTTCAGTCTGGTTACGTCCCGAACATCCAGGAAATGTTTCAGATCCTCGACAACCACATAAAGATGAACCAGGTGGATCACATGACCTTCACCTCCACTTAGAGCTACAGGTGAATGCACATCAAGTTAACTGCACACAGTGACGAGACTCACAGGAAGTTTGTGTGAACTCGGCAGGTGCGATCAGAGTATCAGCTTCACCTATCTGTTAGATTTTCCTTGTACTGATGCACGGAGAAACGCCTGACAGGTACAGACTCACCTGTGACTCCAAAGACTGAATTTAGTCAATTTAAGAGGAACAAAAATTCGGTCCAGTCAGTCCAGAGACGGGTGTGACACCGAGACAGGTGAGGCAGAGGCGGGGCCAGAGTTTGATTTACAGACAGAAACATTTCTTTAAGTACTTCAGGGAGTATGTTTTGTGAGATGGGCTCAGCTGTGCTGTATTCAGGTGTCTCTCTCTCTTATTACCTGTTCTGTGTCCAGGTGCTCCGGCTTGCTAGGCGTTCTCCTGATGGCGTTCATGAAGGCCAGGCCTTAAAACAGATTCTGAAGGGCCCGGCTGGATGTTCCTCGCCATGAACTGAGCACTCCCTCTGCACCGGCTCACCTTCAGCACTACAATTCCAGAAAGCACTGCTGGCAGCCTTGTGCTAATTAGTGTGTAGACAGGAAGTAGATGGCTGTTTATGTGAAGCTTTTATTGTGAAAATAATAAAATGTTCAGGTCTGTTTCCTGCCTGTTTGTGGTTTTGCAGGTAAATGCACATGTCCATGCAGATCGAGCCTTTTATTCACAGCATCTTTACAGTGTGGCTCATTTATGACCAGAGAAGCAGCCATGACATCCCAGAATTCATAGCAACGCACTTTCACTCCAGGAAAAGAAACCTTGAAGATGGCTGACAAACTCAGGTAATAGATAGGTATGACTGACACAACTGATTCCTGTCAGGAGCTCGTCAGAGGCTTGCTGTGATCAGGCAGGATTCACATGGCTTCATTTTTACTTCAGTCATAGAAAGTCTGGGAGGGGGTAGGAACTCCAGGCCTTGAGGGGCTGCAGGTTTTAGATCTTGGTGCACCCGAATCAAATGATTACTTCATTAACAGGCCTCTGGAGAACTTAAAGACATGTTGAGGAGGTCATTTAGTCATTTAAATCAGCGGACATGTCTAAAACCTGCAGGACGTTGAGGCCTGGAGTTCCCCACCCCTGCTCTAGATTGTGTCTGCAGCAGGAACGTAGCAGAATGATTTTGGGCTTTTTTCATTATGTCTAATGAGGACAGTTTCACCTGTTCTCATTTATGTGACCTGCTGGAACATGCCAACATCAGTGAGGTGAAGTGAGTTTAGTTTGTGGATGGGATTATGATCCGTCTCATGGACGCTGTTTCCATCACAGTGTTACTGAGTCCACAGAGCAACAAACTCCACAAATGCTCCTTTTTTTGTCACCTGTTTTATCAGATGACATTAAAAGTGGTGAAATGAGGCAATTTCTGCACTGAATCCAAAGAGGCCACAAAGGTGGAGCGGGCATGTGGTGATGATGTGAGCTGATCATCATTTCCTGTTTGGAGACATGAATCATCTGAAATGTGAAGGTTCATCTCCAGGCTCTTTGTGAAGGGTCTGGATTTTCCTACATCTGAGTTTCAATGGTTCAGGTAGACTGAGCGGGTCGGGCTTAACACAGTCGAAAGGTTCCATGTGTCTCTGAGTTTTAGTATCCTCATCAGTAACTACAAACAAAATAAATACAGTCATGTTTATTAAAATAAAACAAGTTCAATGTCCCAGGTCAGGTTCTCCTTTCAGGTGTTACTAATCCAATCCAATGTAACTTTGACATGAATATAGTTTGATTTCAGCGACTGACTGAGTTATTTAAACAGTTTCATTTGAATGTCCTGTGTTTTTATAGCCTTTTTCCCTGCAGTAACCACACAGTAACTGTACTTTTACTGCAGTACTTTGAAGTACATGTCAGGTAGTTCAGTCTGAGAACATAAAATAAACAAAACCATAAAGATATATATATTTTTTTTAAAAAGGTCTTCCCTTCAATCAGTGGACGCTGCGATGCACGCGGTGAGGCAGCAGGGGGCGCCAATGAGCCGGTGTTTTTGAACACTTCCGGTACAAAAGAAGCGGCTGTGAGACAGACAGTAGCTAACGTTAGCCTCTGCAGTACGTTTATTCGACTTAATTATTTTTTTTACTCTACTAAAATGTTTGAGGCCGGAAATCTGTCGCTGACACACACGCTAGCTTCACGCTAACGGTAGGAACCACAGTGACGAAGAGAGAGGTGCTAACGGCTAAACGTAAACTGCTAAGAGGAGCAGTGACGGTGACAGCGGAAGCTAACAGTTTATTGCTAACAGTAAGTAAAGTTTAAGCTCAACTGCACACATGCCACGTTTAAAGTATCTGTGTGTCTGAATCTACTGTTTAAATCTTGAAGGCCTTGTTTCTAATTCTTGTAAAGGTAAAACTCCATCATCATCATCATCATCAGTGACAGCAGGGTCACTGGGTCACCAGAAGCGTTTCTTTCGGCTCCTGGTGACCTTAGTGTGATCCCCCTGCAGCTCCACGAGTTTAGCTGGTCCTGGTTTTATGTATCAGGCTCAGATTAGGAACTCTTGACGTTCTGAACAGAGACGAAGCAGCTTCTGGTACGGAGAAAAGGTGCGAGTTTCAAAGGTCCCTCCTGTTTCCTTTTCCTAACCTCTTTTACTTGCCCACGGTGGAAGGTGGGCAAGTAAAAGAGGTTAGGAAAACCTGTAGGACGGTGTCCTACAGGTTTTAGATCTGTGTTGACCCAGGGTGAGGTTTTAGATCTCACCCTGGGTCAACACACCTGAATCAAATGATTAGCTCATTACCAGACCCCTGGGGAACTTCAAGACATGTTGAGGAGGTAATTTAGCCATTTGAATCAGCTGTGTTTGATCAAGAACACATCTAAAACCTGCAGGACAAAGGCACTCGAGGCCTGGAGTTGCCTACCCCTGATATAGATCATAATTTTAGCTGGTACAGCATTCTTTGTGCAACAGTACCTCAACAGGAAGTAGTTTTTATTCCAGCAGTGTGATGCTCATCTGTGAGTTTAACCGCTGCTGTTCAAAACTATAAATCTATCAGCGGTGTATGGATGAAATGGAAAATGCAGTCAGAAGGAACATTTACATGATCCACTTTGGTCATGTTTGTTTTCATGCGTGGTCAGATGTTTTTGGTTTTGTTTGTTTTTTTTCCCCCTCCCCTTTCATAAAGGATGCTCCAGCGTCTCTTATGCTAAAGGAAGAAAGATACCTGTTCCTAGTGATGGCCAAATGAAGCTTTCTGAAGCACTGAAGCTTGTATTGAAAAATGGTTCATTACTCGAAGCTTTCCAACACAGTCCTCTCCGGTGACATCTGGTGGCGAATATTTTGAAGAGCAGCTTGAATCTGCAAAATAAAACGGACTGCTCAATCATCACTGCTCACTCAAGAGTGATATTGGGCCACCGTTCCGTTGCTTTGAACATGTAATTGGTTTTGTTTTCTCGATTGGGGGACTGAAAAAATGTAATGCGTATTTGCGTAATACATCGTCACTGATTTGTAGAATCATTTTGATTCGATACAGGATCCGATTCAATTTGATTGGAATGTGGAAAGTTTTGCCTCAGTCAGAAATATTATAATTCTGGTCATGTATCAGTATATATCCATAATTTCGTATCTATTAAAAGAAAGCTGACACATGTGAGACTTAATTAGAGATGTAAACAGAGAGTTATGAAACCTGCAGCTGCAGAAGCCAGCGAAGAAAAAAGAGGCAAACACAGCGCGGACCCGACGACACACCAAAATCTGATTCTGACGCGTCGGGTCCGTGCTCTGTGTTCACGTTTGTATGCAGAATCCGTAAACCTGCTCCCAGTTACAGTTTTAGCTGTATGGTGTTTGACGACATGTTGTGAGGTTTAACCTGAGATGCTGGCGTTTCAGGCATAATAACGTTAATTTACAAATTGACACAGGATTGTAATGAATCAATATCACTTTATTCAATTTAGCATGGATTGTAATCAGAAAGGCGATAATCAAAACCCACCCCTAATCAAGAACTTGCAAAGTAAAAACATGATCTATGTAAGGTAGCCCTTTTGTTATTTACATTTAAAAAGAGGATTAGTGTTACTGTGTGCTAGACTTGTAGTCAAGACCGCCTAATCCGAGACCAAGACAAGACCAAGACCAGAGGGTATCGAGACCAAGACAAGACCAAGACCAGAGGGTATCGAGACCAAGACAAGACCAAGACCAGAGGGTATCGAGACCAAGGCAAGACCAAGACCAAGTTGAGACGAGACCAAGACCGAGACCGAGTGGAGACGAGACCAAGACCAAGACC